TCTACCTTAAGCAACGCAACTGCCATTGACGAAGACGACGACACCGAACAGACCACGACGCCAACTCCTCTGCCCCTCCCCCTGCGTAAGACTTGTTAAAAAAACGCATCATAATATTATATTATGTAATGTTGCTCATAAGCGTATAAAATGTCGATACGCTTCGTGTGTAGGTACACCGATGACATTGAAACATTATAATAATAATATATTTATTATGATTTTTAATAATATGATCGAAATACAAACCGATATACTTGTTTAATCGTGTGTTTGAGACGACGCTGTCGTCGTGCCGCTACGTAAAACTTACATTTAATCCCCTTGCAATAAATAAAATGATATAATAGAAACGGGAAAAAAAATTACCAATATTATAACACACGCTACTCGTTAATTCCATTCGGTTTTGTTGTTTGTAGGTGTATATTCTTCTTCTTCTAATATTACTATAACTACTACTACTATAATACTACTATTACTACTATAATTATAATTATATTTATTAATTATTAATTATTATTGTTATCATAATATTATATATTATATTATTATATTGGTTGGCCGCGTTTTAAGACAAGAATTGTATGTGCGTTTGGCCACAACAAACTCGTTTATTCTCCCATTCGACCGTAGGTATTAGTGAATAGATAGTATTTTTTTTTTTTTTTTTTGAACTTTTGAGAATCTTATTATATCGCGTTACGTTTTAACTTTTCTCTTCGGCTCTCTTAGGCACTCTGTGCGTTTTCGACTAGATAACACACAAGAAGGGATACATGTATTATACGTGTATTCTGTTGGTGCAAAGTTCAAGCTCAACTTGTCTCCCTGTGTTTCTCTTCCGTGGTTATAGTCACCTTAATGGTATTACATCTATGTTCCCTTAGATATTACCGACTACCAAGTAATTTATTATTATTATGCATTCTTTTTATATATATATATTAATCGTAATAACTTTATATATTATTATATATAAAAATACAACAATTCTTAAAAATTCGCTTGTTACCATTTGCTAAACAAAATGTCTGTAAATAAGTTTTCTGATAAACATTAGACAATAAATATGTTAAATACTTCAAGTGAATATTAAACAAAAAAAGTTAAAAATATGATAATACTGTTATTTAATATATATATAATATGTTATCACTTATCATTATTTGTATTTCAATGTTGAGTGTGTGTATTTGTAGTGTAACCTGCCTAGGGATAAAAAAATTTTAAACTAAATTATAACCTGCAAATTATGTTTTTCCTCGACAGTTTTAATAACAACAATTACTAATTTTTATATCTCACTAAATTTATTTTACGGCTCTGCCTCTATTCTTGTTCTCATTTAACAATAGTTTAGTAATACATTTATAATCAAAATATGTTACTCCTTTAAAAAAAATCTTTATCACAATAAGTTATAGAATTATTCTATATTGAGTGTTTTTGTAAGCGTTGGACGTCTTTATATAGTCATGTTATTGTATAACTCCATTATTTATGTATTATTTTGTAGATTAAATATACCTAAATGAAACTATACTCTGACTTCGACAAGACGCCTATAAATGTATGTTGGATTTCAAATAGAATGGATGAATGGATTTCAATATTGCGCATTGCCAGCCTTCCCATATGAGTGTTTATCTAGGTATATTTAATCTATGATTAAACAAATATAATAAAATAAACTTTTCATTTTTGTGAAAAAAAAAACAAATATAAATAAATCCAAATCGACTGCATTTTTGGAAACCAAATTATAAATTGTTTTGTTTTATTTTTTATTTTATACCTTTATAAATGTTGACGTTCCGTATTTCTATTAGTTATTACTATTTACAAAAATATATTTGTGAATTTGTAATCAACTGAACTATACCAATATGGAAGACGAAGATCGTAAATATTTTAATGATATTTAGGTTCTTCTGTAAAAATGAATTTCGAGGGAAAAGTAAGTGAATCCTTAATAGTTAATAGTATTTAAATAACAAGTTAATTGTAAATTTAAGTACACATACTGGTTATGTTACTAGTTTACTAGAATTACTAAACATATCACACAATTCATATTATTCTTATTAATTTATTATTACAATATTATGTATTATGTATTTATTATTTTTATAGATATTTTTATTTATACGTATTATAGAGTGGCCCCCCGATAAAAAAAATATGGTTGGGGGGGGGGGTCTGTTGTCACGGGATGACTGATAAAACCGCTACTGGGTACATCGGTATAAGTAAATTTGTGTATCATGAAGCTTTTGGTACTGTAATAATTATTATTTGCGACTGCATTTTTCAAACGACCACCAATTTTACATATTTTTCTGTCTATTGCGAATGTCCTTTTAAAAAAAATTAACTTTTTGTTTATGACCGTATTATTGGACAGGGCATTTTTTAAAAATTTTCCGTTCTTATTTAAAACAAACTAAAAATTACACGAGATCCACATAACTAAATAGTACGAAAATGGAGTAAATTAGCCGTCGTATAAACATAGAAAATTATATTTATTTAAGACATTGGAATTGAATGATGAAATAAATTAATTTACTATGGAAAAATTAGGCAAAGATAGATCGATACTTGATTAAGTTTGTAAATAATTCAAGTTTTAAAGAGGGAAACTATTCATATGAAGATACTACAGACGAGTGACGGCTTAATTTAGTATTTCATGCATGTTATATTTTCAAATACCCGAAGTTAATTTTAATTTTAAATGCATTGCATTAATTAGAAAAAGTTAATTCCTGGGTACTTACGTCATAATATGTTTTGACGTTTTGTATTCTAGAACAACACATTGATAAATCGAAACATTTTATTGAAAGAGAAATTGTTTGTAAGATTATTCATTCTTAAGTTTTCACATTCTGTCAATATCAAAATCGGTGAATTTTCTAGTGTTCGCGGATACCAAAATGGTAATTATGCCCCTGGTCTCAGATGATTCAAAAACAGTATTTTGTTATCTATGATATTTTATATTTTGTGTATCTTAATTTTGAATATAAAATGATGTTCACACGGCGTGTTGAATAGGCAATTTAGGTGCATATATTATATTATGTAGTATCATTGATTATCAATAGTATTGTTTATAATTAATTGTACTTCATATTTGTGAATGAAAAAATGTTTGTTCGTGGTGTTATTCTAATTAGGAAACTAAAATATGTTTGCACAACGTAAAGAATAATACCATTATGTTATTATAATTTTGTGTTCCACTACCGCTATTGTTTTTAAAATATTAAACATAAAAAATGTCTACGTTGTTATGTTATATTGTTTTTGCTTTTTAGTTATTACAGTTATAAATAGTATACATTGTCGGTCTTCCTCATGCTTTAGTCTCCAAAACAGTCATTTTCATTGGGTCCCTGTAGAAACGACTTCTTAAACTTCTATAAATGTAATTACGATTATTATGAATATATAGTAATATATTATTTTAATATATAATATATATATTATATGTTAAAAAAATTTGTAGAAGGTTAACTATTAATATTCCAAGTACAAATACCTAGACAATCTGATCTTAATGTTAAAAATAAAACACAAATTAATTATAATTTTGACTGACAAAGTCCTATTTTATTATCCACGCATAAGTTTTATCGATTTAATATTTTAATACATAATTGTGCACTAAATGTGTTAATAGTTCAAATAATTGATGATTACAATTTTAAGATTATAATATATTTTGTGCATTTTAAAGTTTTTAACCACTAATACATTTACGGTTCTAACTATTGAGGACATTTAGAAAATACTTAAAATGTTTTAATTAAATTAAATGTCTAGTTTCAATACCTATGGCAGACGGCAGTGCTTACAAAAAATATGTGTAATACAATATTCTACTACACATATGAAAAAAAAAAAATTGAATACAATTTCTTTCTTAACATTAACTCGTAATTACCCTTTTTAAACAATGGTCCAATACTTAATGTTTAACTAAATTTAATTTAATTATTCATTAAAGCAAATACAATAATCTGCATCCAAGTCTTTTAGATAACATTAAAGAAAATGTTTCCACTTATTTTTTTGGAATAATTATAAAGCAGTCTAAATAAAAAACAATGAAAGAATTCAGTTTAAATTAAAATATCTTATGTTGCGTTATAGTTCAGATATATTTGTGATTATTAAAAGGATAGAACTGTCATATAAACAAGAAGATGTTAGAATAATAATCATAAAATTAAAATAACATAATATAAAAGTATAAAACAGTCGAGTCAAGAGTTACACAATTAGAAAAATTTCAAACACTTAAAAGTTATTTTTAAATGCATTTGTTGATGATATATCATTCTTCATTTAATTCAATTTAAATGTATTTAATACCAGTTTTATGAAATGAATTGATTATTAGAATTATAAGTACATAAAAAAAACCATTTACATTTCTTTGATTGTATCTTAGTTTTTAAGTTAAATGTTTATAGATTTATTTTTTTAGGGGTTTTAGTAATATATTTTTTGCCAGGATCCATACAATTTGTTTTAAAATAAATTTATTAGAAACAATGCTTTTATTTAATTATATTTATCAACTTAATGTTAATAATATCATTAGATTTTATTATTTATTGAAATACTTATATTTGGATTTCTGAGAAAATAAAATTAATTATATGGATAAATTCTTTAAATTTATAATATTATAATATTGTATTTATCAAGTTTTCACTGAATACTGGTATACCATTGCTAAGATTTTGCTTAGACTCAAATAGCACCAACACATCCTGATTAAATTAGTAATTTGGGTATTTTATGAAAATGTAAAAATTATGTGTTTACAATGGACTGTCAATGGTCTGAGCAAGCAAATTATTATTTTTATAAGTTTATAAAAATTGGTAAATCATTGGACATTTCAATTTTATTTATTTTACTTAAATAATATCAATAAAATACAAGAGCTTTTAAAACAAATAATAAATTGGACACAAAAATGTTTTTTAAAAAATTATATTGAAAGAATTCATTCAATTTAAATTAATGTTAAAAGATGTGTATTCATATTGTTAAGTTGGATATTCTCCAATACTTTATTTTATCAACCAATGCATTTAAAATATTTTGGTACATTTCTTTTTTCTTAATTTAATGACTAAAACATAGGACAGATAGTACAACAGTTGAAAGAAATCTTAATATCTATTAGCTGTAAGACATAAATCATTTTTGGAAGTCTTGATAACAACACTAATCTAACACACACATTATACAACTCTGTATTCAATTTTTTTCAAATACTTTGTAGTGCTTATTAACCAAACAAATATAACCTAAGGACTATAAAGTAACTATTTCGTATTATATTATTTTATAATAGTTTTGCAGTGATAAAATAACTTAAAACGTTGTTATAGTAAATATTTTTAAAAATGTAATATTTTCATTACTTAAGTACTAAACTTTACTTTTCTTGGATGCATTTTGACCAATTGTCGTGGCATGGTAGAGTTTGAGCAAATTTATTGCATCTTGAGCTTCTCGTTTTTCATACAAAAACCGTCCACTAGCTTCTTTAACTTGATCTAGAAATGACCTATAGAAATATAAGATATGAGTATTAACTACTAAGCATATTTTCTAAAATAACTTTCAAGGCTGAGTTAACTGTAATCAGAAGCCTGGGTTCTATTAATTTAGGAAAAATAAAACACGTTTTTAATTGATTGATTAAATAATATAAACTACCTGTCAAATGCCATATCAACCAAACTATCTGGATCCATATCAGATAAAAGCTCAAGATCGCAACCACTCAAAAATGCTATTTGACCTATATCATTTTGCAGACGTCGAATCAAGCTGTTTAAGCTCTGTGTGCCATCAATTTGATCGTCTGAAAATTTAAAGCTTAAAAAAAAAATGTTATATAAACATTAGGTACATTAGCTAAAATGTGTAGTTTTTTACTTAAAGTAATACTTATTATGTTCAGTGGAGAAAAAACATAACATTTAAGGTAGATGTAGGTTACCTTGTTGTGTAAGCTCGGAAAACACCACCACTTTAAACATAAATTCAATAGTTTTTATCTCTAAATTTTTCTACTATAACCAAATAAAAATTTTAAAAAGTGCACTTCGTCTACTACTTAGATTTTATGACATCAATTAAAAAAAATATTAAATAGTAATATGTATTATTTTTATATTATATTTGAGAAAAAGCAGTGGCAAAACAAACCTTAAATAACCGAAAAGCAACCTAAAATTGACTAAGTCTACCAGATTATATAGGAGAACATAATATATCAAATTCACATTCTACCACTCATACATAGTAAATAAAATAAAATCTTAAATAATTTGTTATACCTTATATCATATGGACTCCATTTTTGGTCAGATTTTAAAATCATAATTAATGTATTTGTTTCCAAAGTATCGAAATAGTCTTCCTCATCAATTTCAGTGCCATCAGATTCAAGAACGACTTTAATGGGTTCATTTTCATTTATATCAAGTTTTTGTTGAGCTAAACAAAAGTATAAGTATAATATTGTATAACTAAATACTATTTTCAATATTGTTTAACGCAGGAACTTGAAATTTTTTAGATAAAGTAAAAACATAAAATACATACATTCATTAGGTACATAACAAAAATATTATTACCTTTAGTCATAAAATCAGACAATGAAGTTGCAACAATACCAATTTTGTGTTCACGCTTTGAATCAATTATTTTGTAAGGTTTACCAGTGTATTCTTCACTAGCCATTTTAAATTAATAATTCAAGTATTCAATGAAAAAACAAACATGCACAAACGAACAACGACCGGATATGAAGTATAGAAGTATCAACTAATAAGTAATAACTAGGTTATCAAATCGATAAAAAATTGGCAGGTTGCACCAAGGCTTATCAATCAAATAAATATTGTGTTATCACCTTATCGGTTCGATAATAAATATGCGAAAGAAGTGCACTTTTTTGAAAAATGTTCAGTGTGGTTATATGGTGGTTACCTTGTGACCAACTTAAGGTGGCATAGCAAGGGATATTTTATTTTTTGTCAGCGTAGCACAGCGAGCAAGTGGCCCCCATTGAACTATGTAATAGCACAGAATAAATGAAATTCTTTCTTTCATTTATTCTGTAGTAATGCTATTATATAGTTCAATGATGGCCACTATTTAGGATATACAGGTTGCCCATCGACCTATACCACGATTTAAGATCACAGCCACGTCGGTCTTAGAATATAAGGTCCGACGACTGTCCCCCTTCCGCCCATTATCCGGTATATGCTTGTTGAGGCAGTTTTACTTCCTATTTAAGCGAGTAGCGCTGCAGGTTATACTGTTTGTATGATGTTTTTTTACTGTTGTTGTGTCACTGCTGCATCACTGGTATAAATCGTGGTATAAAAATCCTTATCATTTTAACTACCCGTGTATTATGTTTACTTTACAGTTTACTGTTTACACTTACTGCTTAGCACTTAAAAAGCCACTTAGCACTTAGCAGGCAGCAGTTAGCCTTAGTGCCTTACAGTCTTACGCAATTATGGTCTGCTTACTTATAAAAGTGAATTAGCTTAAAGTATCATTAAGAAATAAAATATTTAACTTTTAAATAAAATACTTACTAATCAATAAGTTAAATTTAAAAAAGTTTAAATAACATTTATTTCGTATTGTGTTTTAAGTAAAAATATATTAATTTAATTTGTGTTGTCTGTAAGTAAACAAATTTAAAATTAATTCTGTTATTCCTATAAATATGTAAATAATGCATTTTTCTTATTTTTCACACTCAGTATCTCAAATAGTGTAAATGTTCATTTAAATAATATATAAGTAATTTTTTCCCAATATGTTGTTTTATAATTAATTATCACCATTTACAATGAGTGTTAACTGTTAAAAAAAAATTTGTATGATAGAATATAATGTATATGAAAATTGGTATGGCATTTATAGCATGAGTTTTTAGTTGAATTTGATTTTGATAATATAATTTCAGTAAAAGAATAGATTTAGTGTTTTGTTTCTTTTTTTTGTCCTAATTTCCAAAGGTAGTGTGGTTATAATATATTAAAATTAGGTTATTTATAATATAAATTCTGTGGTTAAATTAGGTATTATTAAAATTATTTATTTATTGTGTAGTACCTATTTAACAAGCATAACCACACAAAATAAAATAATTAACAGATAAACTGTATAAGAATAGAGTAAAATAATAACATAGTATAATATAATTAAACAAAACATATGATAGCATGGTAACTTCTAAGTCATAGGACGATTTTCTACAGGGGGATGTCAAGTGATCTCAACCAGGTTAGAGCTGCATTCAAAATGTTGTGAATAGGTTTGTTGAAAGCTCAGCTTAGGCAATATTTTGTGATATGTTTCATTATTTGAGATGGGTGGCCACAGTTGCAAGGAGGAGAGTCTTTCATCCCCTTTCTGATTAAATTTTTTCCATATCTTCTGTGTCCAGTTCGGAGTCTGTTCTAGGTGACTCGTTCTCGTTAAGTTAGGCGCCTAGTAATTATTTTGGTATTTAAATTTTAATGTTTAAAAAATAATTGAGTTACTAATCTTTATGTATTATACTACTATATAATATAAATAATGTTATTATTATAGCTTTTAAGATAATATAATATTTTACATCAATTTATAATGGATATTGCATTTAATTATAAATATTTATAAAATAAGATTGATACATTCATGTATACATTATTTTTTTAATCGCATGTCTAACTTAACTCATTTTGTTTGTATTGTTTTTAGAAGATTTTTGAAATGGACGAAACTGAAGTAAAAGAATATCGCTGGGAAGGCGGTTATGAAAAAACATGGGAGGAAGTGAAAGAAGACGAAGGAGGAAATGTCGAATGGTCGGTTAAAGAGATTATTGAAAAATCTAAGCGGTTACTGGCAGTTCGGCAGCCTAATGTCCGTTTGGGCATGATGCGGCATTTGTTTGTTATTGTAGATAGTTCCAATTCAATGGTTGAAAAAGATTTAAAACCTACTCGACAATTGTGTACTTATAAATTGCTTCAAGATTTCATTCAAGATTTTTTTGATCAAAACCCAATTAGTCAACTTGGTCTGATAACTACAAGAAATTCATCTGCAGAACGTATATCAGAATTGTCTGGCAATAGAAAATATCATCTTGAAGAATTGAAAAAAACTTTTGGAGATTTTAATTATTGCAATGGATTGATGTCTGTGCAGAACTCTTTAGAAATTGCATTGTCAGTTATGAAAATGTTACCTTCCCATACTAGTAAAGAAATACTTATAATTGGATCTAGTTTGAGCTCGTGCGACCCAGGTGAAATAAATACTACTATAGAAATGCTTAAAACAAATAATATAAGAGTTTCAATGATACACTTGGCTGCTGAAGTACGGATGTTTCGACATTTGTGTAATGAAACTAAAGGCAAACATAATGTAATTGTAGATGATGTACATTTTAAGCACATTCTTTGGTCGTTGGTGGAACCTGTTACTCTGCCAAATTCAGTTGATGCATCATGTGTGAAAATGGGCTTTCCCCAGGAGTTGGAACAAAAACCACCATTCACCACGTGCTCCTGTCATTTAGCAGAGGGTGGCAAATTGAACGCAAAAGGTTTCTTTTGCCCACAGTGTAACAGCAAATATTGTGAATTACCTGTGGAGTGCAAGTGCTGTGGCCTCATACTCGTGTCTTCTTTACATCTTGCTAGATCATTACATCATTTGGTTCCTATTAAGCCATTCATAAAAATTGAGCTTGAAGAAGGTTCTAGTGCCTACTGCTATGGATGCAGAAAGAGAATAAAGGTCCCCGCTGAAAATGTATACTTTTGTGAATCTTGTAAAAAACATTACTGTGATGGTTGTGACATTTATGTGCATAATACATTACACGTATGTCCAGGCTGTGCTGTTAAACGAGACGAAAAAAGATAATGTACAAAAAAAATTGAATAGTGTTTTTTTAATTATTGCATTATTTTGTGCATAAACTGAACAATTTAAGAGTACCAATAAATTGATTTTCTTTTACATATTTTTAGGCATTATTCCTATAAATTATTTTAGTTTATGTGTACAATTAAAAATGATTAAAAACAGAAAGAACTGAAATGAAACTATTTAATTTGATTCATCTTTTATACTTTAAATTAATACACAAATTAAAATAAATAGAAGTTATTAAGTATAGGTGTGACAATAATTTGGTTATTTATATTTGATATAAAATGTGAGGTTGGTTAAATTCCCAGTAAAATATATTTACTCCATCCTAGTTGGGACTCTATTATTAAATTAGGACAAATTAATGTATAACAACCTTAACATTTATACTAATAAGAAATAACACTGATCAATAATAAATACTCGAGAAATAAGTTACCAGTCACTTGACTATTATTGTTTTCGTTCAAGTATAAGTAAGCAAGTGAAGATAGAATAATAATATGATATTTTATCTAAATTTTAAATAAAATATACATGATATAGAAATAAGAAAAAAATGAGTTGTTTAGTTGTTAATTCTCTCAGATTATTGCAGTCTGCTGACTATTAATAATATGTTTGATGAACAATGTTTAAAAATTTTGAGTACTAGAAGTAATCGCACCAAAAAACTAAATAACAAACAAAAATTCCTATATATTTTTACAAAGCTGAACAATTCATAATACCATTGATTGTGTTTTACCTATTGACAAGCATGCTCACTCCTATTTTTCCATTTAATTCTGCATTTTAGGTGCTAAGTGTAGCAATGAATGTACTGATTTTACACTGAGTGTGTTTTTCTTTCTATCTATCATCTACATTTAAGGTAGTAAAATGTTCATAATTTGACTCGAGCAACTTTTCTGATAGAAAAGTGAATCTTGTTGATGCATTCAAGAAATCAAAGTTGAAAATTCCCTCTAATTTAGTTAAATGTTGGGAAAAATGGGAATTTTTAAGCAAAACCTATTTTATTTTTATGGTGTAACTCAAAAACTAATAACTTAGATACTTTATATTTTCATTAAGTGTTAATGGTCATTTTTCATACACGTGGGACAGGGGAGAAGCAACAACAACAGTAGTTCCTTCTCCGGTCCAATCACCACAGAAAACATTTTTTCAAACGATTTAGAACCTTTTAGAGCTAAACCTAAAATTTTAATTATTGTCGAAAACTAAATTTTGCCTGATTACATAACTTGTTGAAAATGTAATGCAACGTTCCACATACGTTGTAAACGATATAATTTAAAAAAAGTCCAACTACATTTTTATGATTGTCTGAAGTTAAATTTTAACAAAATTCATCGAAATCCTGAACATTTGAAATTATTTTCAGGTAGAAATGCATAAGAAATTTTTTTTACATAGCTAACATTTGCAAATTTAATAGAAGACTATTTTAAGTTTTTCTACTAAATACAAAAACAAAGTTTGCTGGGAAGCAACGCTATTTATAGCCATTAGATATTTTCTATTTTTAGTAATTATTAAATTTAATGATTTATACAAGTGTGTTAAGATGATACACCGTCTCCACAGAATTGTTTTTCGTATACTACAATTTACCATGGAATCCAAATTAATCACATCCATTACAATGAGATACTCGACAACTACTGCATAGAAACGCGTGGGTACACACTTGTCCACCTTATTTTAAATTTTTACCTCTAAAAACCTAGATAGGTAAATTTACCGCATACATGATATACTATTTTCATACCCAAAACTTCACTGATAACAGTTATCTACACAATTATTATCTTCAGATAATCTGAACGCTATATTATTTTATATTTAATCCTTTGAAGAAGTTGTTTGACTATTTTTTAATTTGTGTTTTATACTGAGCTGGTACCCGTTCGCTATTCGCAGACTGCGGTTACTACT